CTGACTAAGATGTGCTACCTGCCCAGCTTTAGGTCATTTCCTCCTTTATTCTCCAGCCCCATCTTCCTCCTGTCCCATCTTCCCTAGAACCCCTGCCCCTACTCAGGCAGCTTCCTGGGCCTATCCCCAAACTCCTGTCCTTGCCTGTTAAAATTCAGTCCTCATGCTGATGGCCAGGTCAGGGGTCTGAAGAGGGAGGTGCTAAGTTCTCCTTTGGTGAATGTCCTGAGGCCCTAGCACAGGTTCCCTGTGATAGCCCTGACACCCAGAGGCTAGTGATGAGACTAGCAAGAGTTATCTTTGCATCTTGGGAACACTGAAGGCCCTTGCTTCAGGGCCAAGACCAAAGTCCTGGGGAACCTAGGAGAGCAAGGAATTGGGAATTGGGAGGGAAGCCCAGTGCCTTCCAGAGGGCCAAGGCTTACTACTGACCACTTCAGGAGAGGGGGATTAGGACTGGCTTAGCTCAGACCATGTGGCAGGATGGTGGGCCTCAGTGCTGCAATAATGTCCATGCTAGAGAGCCCCTTCCCTGGGTTACAGTGGGGCTTGAGAAGAGAGTCAGGTAATGGGGGTGGAGGGAGGAGAGTAGCTGCCTGGAGCTCAGTGCGGTGTGGAGTATTGATCAGTTTTCCCTTCTCCCCAGCACTCCCCTTCCTCAGGCCCTTAGGCCCTGCCAACCACCCTGAAGTGGAAATCATGCCAGCTTAGGAGATTCTGGGCAGACAGAGGAACACCCAGAATCATATCCTGGCCCCATTCCTTACCCTGTGGGCCAAATTCTTTCAGGAGCTCCTTCTAGTCCCTCACCATCCTCCCAAACACCCCTCATCTCCCTGGTCCAGGTCCTGGGACTTAGTGGGTTTAAGGGGCAGATCTCGGGGAAGGAAAATGCTCTTGTGGGTCTCTGATGTCTCTTCTGCCTCACCCCAGCCTCCACATCTCTTCTGGTCATTTCCCCCTTTCACTTTGGTCATCCTAGCTCTGGAAAAATTCTGGGGAGATTTGACAAGGGGCCCCTCTGGCTATTTCTCACCTTGGCCACCAGGTGTCAGACTTTGTCTAGCTGGGAAGATGGTCCTAATTAATGGGTCCAATCCCCGCCCCCACCCCCCCAAATCAGCCAAGACCTGGAGGTTGGGGCAAGTTGGGGAGGAACCTGGAAATGACCTCTGAACTAGCTAGGCTGAGGACTGGAACTGTGGCTCAAAATCTTGCTCACAGATGACAGGTTTTTAATTTCTCATTGCCCCTTCTACCACCCCATGGACAAGGGCTTTGTCCCCTGCCTGGAAATCCAGGTACCAGATGAGTCAGGGAGCCTAAGAATTTAAGGGACACTTTGTGGTTCCAGAGGAGAAGGGGGTGCTGAAAGAATAGGGCACCCAACCAGGCTTGAGTTACTTCTCCTTGCACTCTAGGCTAAAGGAGACCGAGAACCTCCATCTACACACTATGTGTTGAGTGTGTGTAAGATGGGTTATTGAATGAGCCCCTTGCTTAGAGAGGGGGCCTTAAGTCCTGGATGTTGGGTCAATCTGTAAAAGCAGGAAGCTGGCAGGGTCTCATGATTTGCCACCTCTCATCAAAGCCTCCTCTGTACCCACTCCTACCCTCCTGCAAGTTGCCTTCTGTCCCAAGTGACAGTTCCCCCTCTTGTGCTTATTTTCTCAGAACACAAGCACATTTCCAAGCACTGAAGATGACAATGAGCCTGGTGCAGTGGTACACACTTATGATCCCAGCCACTCTGGAAGCTGAGGCAAGAGGATTGCCAAGTTCAAGGCCAGCCTTAGCATCATCAAGTTTCTGTCTCAAGACAAAAAAAAAAAACATATATATATATATAGGCTGGGTGCTGTGGCGCATGCCTGTAATCCTAGCAGCTCCAGAGGCTGAAGCAGTAGGGTCACAAGTTCAAAGCCAGCTTCAGCAACTTAGTGAGACCCTAAGCAACTTAGCAAGACCTTGTCTTAAAGTAAACTATTAAAAGGGCTGGGGATGTGGCTCAGTGGTTAATTGTCCCTGGGTTTGGTCCCTGGTACCAAAAAATAAAAAATAAGTAAAAAATATAAAAGGCTTGTTAGCTCAGTAATAGAATGCCCCTGAGTTCAGCCACCCATACTGCCAAAAAAGATGACAGGTTTTTAATCCATTTATGCATTTTTAATCCATTTATATTTCTCTCCCTAGCCTTACTGGGAATATAAGGACTTCTAGAGATAGTTCCCCTACTCCCATGACACTGCAGAGCCCAAAGTAGTCTGGATTTGTATATTGGTCTCTGGAAACCTGGGCTCAACTCTAAGGCCTTACTTAGGAAATGGAACCTGAATAACCAAAGAAAACTCATCAGCACTCCCAAAGCAGCTAATAAGCACAGAGAACCAATGTCACATCCTAAGAAGACACTGATAACCTATCATTTGCCATGTGCTCCTGTCCCATGATGATGACATTTTCACAAGAGACCCTGTGGGACTGAACATGATGCCAAAACCCAAAGGAGGGGCCCATAGCCCCTGTCGTCATGTTTAAGAGCTATTTGGGAAAGAGTTCCAGAACTCCAGTTCTGAAGTGCCCTTCTACCCCCACCCACCTGCATCCGTCCCTGTCCCCATGGAGCTCTGCATGGGCATGAGTGAACTTAGCACTCCCCACATGGCATGCATCTACTGACTGTTCCTTGCTTCTGTTTCCCTCTGCTGTCCATCCCACCTGCCCTGTGTGGCTCAGAGGCTCACAGCCACTCAACAGTATGGTTTTTAGCATGCAAAAGTCCCTTGCCCCTTGATTCTCTACCATCCCTGCCTTGCCAGTCCTCAGACTTGGAAACCCTCTATACTCTATTCCCACCTCGGGCCATCTCTGTCTTAGTAGGAAGTGTTATAATTCATGCAGAATGGGCACATGACAAAGAGGTATCTGCTGAGATCACCTGGCTCTTCTATTTGGGGTGCCTAGCAAGGCTTTGGATTCTTCTCTGGTTTTCTTTGATGCACCTCCCAGACCTCTCCACACTTCTCCTCACTCAGCAGTGACATGTTTAGATTTCTTCTGTTTAAAAACAATCATCACAAAACAACCCTGCCTCAATCTTATCCCTTTACCACTAAACTCTGAGGGAATATATTTACCCACTCTGTTTTCTTCTCACAGTAGTATTCTTTTTGTCTCACCATTTGGTGTCCGCCTCTCACCTGATCTTTCCCAGGTCACTAGTGACTTCTAACTGCCAAAGCCGGTAGATCTTTCTCTACATTCTTCTCTCAGTTCCCCTGGGGCATCTGAGACTGTTCATCAGCTGTCTCCTTCAAACTCTTCTCTCAACTTCTAAAACACTCCTGAACACTCTTTAAAATCAGTTGAAATCAAATTTTAAGGATTTAGCCAGGTATGGGGGCTCCTGCCTCTGATCCCAGCAACTTGGGAGGCTGAGGCTGGAACATCACAAGTTTGAGGCCAGCATCAGCAACAGGGAGAGACCCTGACTCAAAAAGAAAAGGACTGAGGATGTAGTTCAGTGGTAAAGCATCTCTGGGTACAATATCCAGTACCAAAAGAAAATTTAAAAAAATGAAATTGACAGGATGGTAGGATGTGAGTTCTCTGGGGATGGGACACCCACCTCTCTCTCCATCTGCCTCAAAGCCCTGACTTACTGCTTTGCACATTGCAGCTGCAGCACATTGGTTTTTCTGTATGGGGACAGAATGGCACAGATCCCCTCTTCTTTCTGTCTTTGTAGGCTGGGGACAGGGCCTGCAAGTGCCCTGGCCATGCATAGGCAGGTGTCATTGCCCATAGAGGTAGAACATGTTTCACATGCACCAGTTGGCATCCAGTAGAGGCTGGCTGGCCCACTAGCAGGTCCAGTAGCTCCTGCACCAGCATTCTGACCTCGCTTTTCTTTGGTGGCTCATGCACTTATGGGAACCTCTTCCTCTGTGTTGCGAATGAGTGCTTTTGTGCCTTATTATTTCAAGGAAGCTAAACTTTCCTTCCCAAGTAGATTGCAAGTTCTATAATAGCAGGAGCCAAGTTAGGTCTTCAAATTCTTTTGGCTTTCTTTTATCAGGACAGTGAAAGGCAGGTAATTAGAGCTTTAAAAATTTGTCAGCTGATGGACATTACCAATTTCCTTGCTTAACACACTGTTTCCAGGAGGCCCTTAAGAAATATCCTTGTATTACCTGGAAGCAATTAACCCATTAGTTTACCCAGTGGCTCTTAACTAAAGGGTCATGGCATAGTGACATATCTCACATAATCTAATTTCTACAATTGCTACTGCTACAACCTTTATCCTTTGTTACCCTTTCTAACAATCTCATAAAATATTTAACTATTCCCATTTTATAGATGGAGACACGAGACAGAAAGCTTTTATTTATCTAAAGTCATTCAGCTGGGAGGCTGTGAAATGGAGTTAACATAGTTTACCCCTTGAATAACATCTGTCCCATTTTCCCTCAGTTCAATAGAAGTTTTCTTTCCCACAATATGAGAAAGGAACAGAGTCACAGCTGAAAGTTGTGAATTGGCCATAGTCCATCACCCTCTCAAGGAGATAGATAAAGGGTGTTGAGGTGAGGGCCCCATCAGACAGCCACTGGCAGGGGTCCTGGGGACTGAATGCCCAAGGGTGGCTGGGGAGAACCCCAGAGGGGCACATGAACAGCTGTGCTCATCAAGTGCAGGAGGGGCCAGAGGGGAGACATGCACAAAGCATGTCCAGAGGGAAAGCAGACGGGGCAAAGGCAGAAGGACAAAAAGCAACAAGCGACAGTTCTCTAGGAGCACCAAGACACCACAGAGCTGGGAGCAGGAGGAGACAGACCCAAGTTGTGTGTCTTTGCCCTGGAGCTAGAGGGAGGAAAGTCGCCTCCTCAAGCCCCACTTACCTCCACTGGGAAAAGGAGACAATGGAAGCCAGGGTAGGTGGGGCCCAGAGAGCCCACAGGGTGCCCCAGGAGGACCAGGAAAGCAAAAAGACTGAGTTCTGGGGCAAGCATTTTATTTGTTAATACAAGAATAGAAATTCTGCAATAAATATAATCTAATAAATAACATCTCCAAATAAATAAATATTAATACCACAAACTTAGAGTCATGAGTGGGTAGGGCTGGGGGGCAGGGCCTGGGGAGCTGTCCCCATTCCCTGCAATGCTACTGCAATGTAAACTTTCAGGAAACCCTGTGGCTGTGGCCATGGCCGCCCTCCCAGCCTGGGCAACCACAGACACCCTGGGAAAGGGCAGAGAGGAGGCAACGTGATGCCAGCAGGGAAACTCGAGGCGAGGTCCTGACGTTCAGCGCAGCTTCGTTTGCCACCCTATGCCACTGATTACCTGGATGACTACCCCCCTTTCGGTATTACCTCTTCTGGTTTTTAGGCCACCTCCAGTGCAGACCCCACCCCTTCCATTTTTCATTCCATCTCTTCTTGTTTAGACGTGTCACCTTTCTGTTTCCTGAACTGAATGTGGAGTTATGGGGTGGGAGAGCGACACCAGCCAAGAGGCTTCACTCCAGAAAGGCACATGTTACAGTGGCCCCTACTCCTGCCTTCAAATGAGGGGCTGGAGGGCACTGGCAGGTGATGGCAGCAAGCAATAGGTGGTGAGAGCCTTTGCCCTCACTTGAGCCATTCAGCTCCCTTGAACATAACCTCCATGGAAACAGGATGGCCCCTGACACATTTCTTCTCCAGACCCATAGGACTCGCGGAGCTGGGCAGGGGACAGGACGTACCACACCCCCACTCAAGGCCTGGAGGACCAGAGATCCCACCATCTGTCTCCTGGCTCAACAAGTGTTGGCATACAGGTTTCTCTTACCCAGAGTGGGAGCAGAGCTTGAAGGGGCAGAGGGGAAAAGAGGAGGTGATAAGGGTCAGAGATCAGAAGCCATGGGCCTCCAGGTGCAGGGTGACTGCAGCTGCCGGAGGCTGCATCTTCTTCTTAAGCCGGTTGAAGTCCTTGGCTGAGCGCCACAGCCAGGTCTGCAGCTCCTTCAGCAGCCAGAAGTCGTCCATCTTCTGGAGGAAGTCGCTGTGGGCAGGGCCAGGGGCCCAGGTGGGCTCAGTCCCCGGCAGAGGCTGGGGCAGTGGGTAGCCCAGAGAGGCCATGACGCCTGCGATGCTGCCCAGCAGGCCCTGGAGGCTGGTACAGAAGTGGGCCAGGCTGCGGCGCAGCTCTGCTGTGGCAGCCTGACGGTTCAGGCCACGCAAGTAACACAGGAGGTGGCTGTAGGCCTCGTAGTTCTGGGTCAACCGCAATTTGTCATTGAGGCTTCGCCACACTTCCAAGTTGACAGTGGCCCTAGGCAGAGTCTCTGCCCCCAGCCGAGGTGGGTTGAAGTCAGGCTCGTTGAAGGGGGGCCCCAGGTAGTTCAGCTGTGGAAAGGAGAGGGCGATGGGGAAGGAGGCGAGGAGAGCAGGAGAGCACTGCCCCCATAGTCTATTTCTCCTGTTCCCTGACACTGGCCCTGTCTCCATACTAGTCCTTGCTGTTCATGGGCATCCCCTAAGTTTCTTCAACAGGAATGTCATCTGCATGGAGGTAACAGCTGAAGCAGTGGGGTGATGAACTCTTCTACAAAGAGAGGTAGAAAGAGAAAACCACGCAGGCGCCACTCAGGAAGGACGAGCTGATCAGCTGAGAGGGCAGACCTCGGGAGAGTGCCACCACAGGGCAAGGAGAGAGGAAGAAGAGCCACGAGGAGCCAGGAGGCCAGGCTGCAGAGGCAGAGTTGGCCAGGAGAGTGCAGAGGCCAGGGAGAGGAGTTCAAGAAGGCAGCAGTGTTCCGCAGAGCGGCTGCAAAACAGCAAGGAGAGAGCCTTAGAGAATGCCGCTGGGTTTGGCGAGAAGAAGATGCCTGACGACCTGGAGAGAACTGTTGTCGCGGCCTGGAAGCCAGATTGCAGGGGGTTAAGGAGTGAGTGGGTGGAGAGGAAGTGGAGGCAGAGGGTGTAGACCACTCCTTCGAGAAATTTGGCAGGGGAAGCCAGGAGAGAAAAAGGGTCGGGAATTAGAGGAGGTAGCAGAGCCCAGCAAAGGTTTTCTACACAGGGAAACTGGAGCGAGCTGAGCCAAGGTTGAAGGCAGAGGGACTGCTGGCATCAGAGCTCCTCTTTGACGTTCCTGTTCCCCCCAGCCTAAGGAATAGGGGACAGAAGGGTACTCACCAGTGCCCCAAGGCAGGGTTCAGTTGCTAGGAACAGGGCTACAGAAGGAAGAAACTGAGGCAGTCTCTAGAGGGGACAGGAAAGGCATGGAAGACAGTATAGTCTAGGGAAGAGGGCAAAGCCCTTGCCAACCCTCTGGGGAATGGCCTGGGGCCCAGGGAAGGGGATGCAGGAGATATGTAACTGGGAGGGAAAGAGAGAAGAGGGGCGAGGCCTGGGATAGGCAAGGGCCCAGGGGGAGGTTCACACGCTGACAAGCACAGAGACAAACTAATTTCCTCGGTGTATCCTGGGGCTGGAGCCAGCTCCCCCGCCACCCTCCTCCCTTTTCCTTCCCTGGCTCCAGAGTAGGGTCTGGGATGTGGAAGAGGAACACGGGAAGAGGGGGCTGGTTCCCCATGGTCCCCGGCTCCTCCAATTCTCCTTCCTTCTCTCCTGGGCTCTCTGAACACCTCTGGACCACCCCAAAGTCCTTACAGCATAATTGCCTCCACACCCTGAACCCCCTGCCATTACTGGCCTGGGTTCTCTGCAACCCCTTTCTCCCATGATTCCCCCTAGGAGGCCTGGCTAGGATGGGAGAGGCAGACAGAGGGAGGCCCATGGGTCCAGAGCAGCAGGGCCCCAGGTCTGGGGGCAGAAGAGAGTTTAAACACAGGCATGGGAGGTGGGGCCCCTCCATCCCCACCCAGCCCCGCCCGTGCAAGAGACACCACAACACGGTGTAAACAGAGGAGACTTCCCCGGCCCCCAGGGGAAGGCGGGCGGCTGGGCTGGCAGCCAGTGGGGCAATGGGCCAAGGCGGGTGCAAGGCCTGCCCACATGCCTAGTCCTGGGGCCAGGGATGGAGAGGGGGGGCACCTAAGAGGGAAGGGCAGGAGATAGGCCAACTTAGGGAGACTGCTTGGAGCCAAAGGGCCCTTCCTCATCACCCAGTCACTCAACAGGACCCCGCCACTATCAGCTCTCTTCCCCCAACTCCTCTGCTCACTCTTCGCCCAATGCCCAGACTCCTAAGCTGGATACTCACGTAGGTCCCAGCCAAGCTGCGGAGTTGGTGCTCCAGATAGCGGGTGAGGTCATAAGTTTTCTGGATGGAGGGGCCGGGCCCTGGGTCTCCTGTGCGATTGAGAGCTGGCACTGCAGGGAGGTGCCAGAGCACCGTGCACAGGCAAGCTAACATCCCCCACGAGTCCCCTGTGGACAGGATGGGCAAGAAGCATGAGGGTGGGCCAAGCCCAAGTGTGGAGGCAGCTGGCAGTCCCTCAGGTCTCTATCCCCACCCTAGGCTGGGAGCAGGGGTGAAGGTGAGACACCAGATGGGATGAAGGATGGGCAAGGGACGTGTATGTGAGGACAAGTACATGGCATTCGTACATCTATCAGTAGATACTTGAGAGTATATCTGTATCAGCCGAGGAAGTCTTAGGCAGTGTGTGACCGTGTGCATGCCAACGTGTGTGTATGTGCGTCGTGGACTGGGCCAAGCTTAGGGACTCCAGGCCAGTGTGCTAGGGTTGCAGTTGAACCTTATCCTCCTCTCCAAGTCCCCTGGTCCCCTTGCAGCTTGAAGGGAACTGAGGAGTGGCAAATGGCACATGTCAGCACTGCAAGCCATCGTCAGCCAGGCCTGCTAGAAGAGTGAGTAGGTAGAGGTAGGGTGACACCACCATGGTCAGGCTGAAGGACACAAGGCTGACTTAATGCAGTCAGTGGTGGGTGTATTAGGATATGGTTCCTGGGTGGTGGGTGCTAGGATGAAGTGAAATTGAGGGAGATTTAGCATCCATCCCCTTTAGGACAAGTGGCAGTGTTGGGGTCTGCCCATTCTTGTCTAGGGTGTTGGAGGTGGAACACAAAGGGGAGAGGTATGTATTTGATGAGTGGGGTTGTCAGCTAAAGATGCTAGAAGTTTAGAATGCCAGTCCAGAGGCCTGGGGTCTGTACTGTGAAGAGGGCTGGTGGCTTTGGGGAAAACTTGATTTTCCAGGCTCTTAGGTGAGGTCCAAGCTCAGAACTCAGTGTGCATCTGAGCTAGGATGCGGGGGGGGGGGGGGATATAATCGGTTTGGGCTGGAGTAGGTTTAAAGACTAGGTTACTTTTATTTATTTATTTATTTTTTTAAAGAGAGAGAGAGAGTGAGAGAGAATTTTAATATTTATTTTTTTTTTAGTTCTCAGCAGACACAACATCTTTGTTGGTATGTGGTGCTAAGGATCGAACCCGGGCCGCACACATGCCAGGCGAGCGCGCTACCGCTTGAGCCACATCCCCAGCCCCAAGACTAGGTTACTTTTAATGCTTCAGATTAGTTTAGACTTGGGATTTGGTTGATTGAGTGTGGTTGAGGTTTGAGTCCAGCAGTGGGATGTGGTTAGGTTTGGGCAGGCAGACGGTTAGCTGGGGCTAAGGTTTATGAATTTGTTGATTTAGATGTCGGATGGGGCAACACTTGGCATGTCACAAAGGGTAGGTCTCGTTTGGGTTTTAAGCTTGGATAGGTATGAGGTCAAGTTGTTTCTTTTCTCTAGTTTATATTTTATACTTCCAATTTTTTCTATAATGATATGTTTCTTTGATAGAAATAAGTTGGATAGGTTTAACAATTTGACTGCAGTCAGGATAGGGTTTGGAGTTAGGAAAGAATGAAGACTAGATTAGGTTTAGACATTAGTTAGTCATAATAACTGGGTCTTTTAGCCCTTAGAGGGGGTTACTATCAAGGATGTTATAAAGTGTCTCAGAGAGTACGGGGGACAGGTGGGGACTTTGCAGTGGCCCAGTCAGTCAGTATGGACTCTATCATATGCTTGAATGGCTGGCTTTACTGATGGGTCCTCGGAGTAGGGGTGCCTCCTATCCACAGGGACTGCTCTTTTGAGTGAAGGACTCCTGGTGTGAGGGTACCTGTGCATGTGCCCACTGTATTTTAGGACAGAGAGCAGGGTAGGGCACCAACTCCACTTTCCTCTCCTACCTGTAGCTTGAATGCACCTTCCTCAGTCCTTCTTTCCATTTAGCTCTTGTCTGGCCTGATTCCTTCCTAGTCTTTCATCTTCATATCTCAAGAAGACTCCAGGCCCTTCTCTGCACAAATCCCTGAGCAGTCCTCAGCCCAGATCTCTGGCTGAGTCCCTTCCAGAACCCTATGGGTTAGTTTTGGAGATTTTGGAGATTGAAGACCTGCTGAGAGGGACAGTGGCCCTTCCGTCTTGAGATAGCTTTCAGGATGACGAATCTGGCCTTGCTTGAAGTTAGTGGCAATGCCAAAGTTCCACTGATGCAGGAATTGCCTCAACGGCCAGAGTTCTGGGACTGGGCTGTCCCGGTGGCAGAGAAGTGTGGTCAGAAGCCCTGGGCCTGTTTCTTCCTCCCTTCTTGGGCCTTGGGGGACATCCCTGGGGGGACCAGCTCCCTATACAAGGACAGCAGGGGGAAAAGCCTTTGGATAAACAAGAGCTAAGTCATCTGGGCAGAAAAACGGCTCATGAAATTAAACAGACAGGGCCGGTGTTTCCAGGAATATTTCAGTTCTGAGGTAACTCTGTCACTGCAGGCTGGGGGCTGGGGGGGACAGGGGAGAACAGAAGGAGCTGACTGACCAGGCCAGAGAGAAGTAGAAAAGAAGGAAGGAGTCTCAGGAATCAGGAGGCCTGGAGAGGAGAAAGGCAGGTGAAGTTCAGGGTTCTGCCTCCTACTGTGACACCTTGCACACTGGGCAAGATGTGCCCATATCTCAGGCAGCAAAGCAGAAAGTTGCCTGACGCAGAGAATACCTGAGTTCGTTGTGAATACTGGAGCTCAGAGCAGCTCCAGCTCCCCTGTGTTCCTGGGTGGCAGCATCCAATGAGTCTCAGGAGCCCCCACCTACCCTCCTCTCTGGCTCAGAGTGTACAGGTGAACCCCACCATGGGGCCATATCTTGGCCCCCTCCCCCAGTCCTACCCCCACTGCCGGCCTCTGCTCTGCCTCTGGCTGCTGCCCACTGATTGTTTACATCCCGTCTTCTCCTTGTGTTTATAAATCCGGCTGAGCACGTGAGGAGCTAATGAGTGCAGCTCACGTTTCCTGCTGCAGCCCCCCCATCCTGGCCCCCTCCGGGGCCAGCCCCTAATTCCATCCAGATCCCTGGGCCCTGGGAACGAGGCCCCCCTCATGAACACACACACTGTCAGCCCACGCAAGCGCAGGGCCATCCCGACACACTGCACAGGCACACCGCAGTGTACTTGTCTTTAGCCAGCTGTCCCTCGCTCCCTGGCCTATGCCCCAGGCTAACAGTATTTAGTGGCAGGGATGTCCAGGGTGGTTGGGTGGAGACTGCACCAGGAACTGGTGAATAAGAGCTGTAAGCTCTAAACGTTGATGTTGGGAGGCTTTGGAGCTTTGGAGAGTTCCAGAACTCTACATGAGGAAAGGCCCTGAGTGACCTTGGGGGGGGGGTCTGTTTTGGGAAATGGGGGCGGGGGAAGGGGTAGAGTAGCCTAGGAGGTAGTGTGTACACAGTGGCGTGAGATCCATGCACAGGACTAGGAGACTGCCCTGGAGGCTGCCTCCTGACCTGCCTGCACAGGGCAAAGCCCACAGAAACCTAGCTTTCTCCGTCTTCTGAGCTGGCTGCCCTCTCCCTGGTTCCCTTTCTCCTGGGCTGCTGGGAAGTGGCAGGGTGAGTGAGGACACAGGGGTCTGGAACTCAGGAGACCTAGCTTTGCCATGAACCCATCTGGTGACCATAGGCTTGCACAAGGATGTGGCACTGTGCATGCTAAAGGTCCTCCCGGCTGGAACATGGGGCTCCATCTCTGCTGTCCTCTCCAACATCCCCTCGTGTCCTTCTCTTCCAGTCCAAATGACAGAAAAAGCCAAGGTCCAGGGAAAGAAATAGGGCGGGCAGGCTGCTGCCTTTTGAAGTAAGGCACCAAGTCAGGAACTGGGCTTTGGTTGGAGGGAGAGGGTACCTGACTGCCACAAGAGGGCCCTGGGTGTACTCAGGGAGAGTCAGAGTGAAGTGTGTGTGTGGGGGGGGCTGAGAAGCCAGCTGAAACCAGAGGGGGAAGAAGTGAAGTAAATAGTCCAGGGCAAGTGTGTGGGTGAGCTGGAAAAGGTGTTGTTATCAAGAGGGTGCAGGAGGGTTTGGGAGGGGCCAGAGAGCAGCAGGAGCCAGGGTGTGAACCAGCAGGTGGGATTGTGGGCAGGAATGTGAAGTGTCAGGAATCAGTAGCAGGTAGTGTAGGGGTGGTGTACACCAGTGTGAATGGGACAGGAGTGCAGATCTGTGGTGGAGGGGAGGAGATGTTGCTCCAGTTAGTAGAGATTTCTGGACTGCCCAGTGACAGTTGCTGCCATCTCTTGCCAGTTTCCTCCCCTGGCTGAATGTGTGGCTCCAGGTCAGCCAGTGTATCTGGTCTGTTAGAATATGAACCTGTGTCTCGTCGGAGGGGCATTGAAAGCCCAGAGATGTCCCTGGATCAGAGTCCCAGGGAGAGGTGTCCCCTGCTCTCACCCTCAGCCTCTCTCTAAGGCTCAGACTTCCCCTGCCATGCCCCCACCGCGTGTCTCCCCTTCCTCTACTGACAGCCCCTTCCCAATCCTGGGCCCTGAACAGGACACAGGAGGTCCTCTGGGATTGGAGGTCTGTAGGGAGGACTCCTGGAGCTCAGTATGGAGCTGCTGGAAAAGAATGCAAGAGGGTAGAAATGAGGGGACTCTGGCAAGGCCATGCAAACCTAGGATTTGCTTCGAGGGGCAGGGCCAGGGAACTGTGCGGCGGTGGCCGCTCGCTGGCCCTCCCTCCTCGGGGGTGACCTCTCCTTCCCGGACCCCTCCCGGAGGCTGTGGTGCCTTCCCC